AAAAGGGTTAGATTTGATGTTAAGTGGGCAGAATTAACACCAAAAAAGGACCTAACTTGTATGAATGATCTGGAACAGGCATGAAAAAGAGAAAAAATTAATACTGATCTTAGCTGAAATAACTTTTGATTTTAAGCCACCTCAGAAGTCCTGACAACAGGAAGTTGCTGTGTGATTATATGAAATTTTACACATTTGGAGGCTACATTAGAGATACAAACAGAAAACTCAGCACTCGTCGATACTCGTTGTGCAGATTTGTGTCATTCTCTGGAAAATGTCACATGATGCAATCTAGATAGGTTACTGCAAAACAATGGTTTTCAAACTACAGGTAGCGAGCCAGTACTGGGTGGTGGAATGTCAGGCACTGGCTCTCGCTGCAGGGGGATCAGGTGAGCAGTGGGGGGTATGAAGGCAGCTACCTGCCTGTCCTGGCACCTCAGACTGAGCTGTACCCCAGAAGTGGCCAGCAGCAGGCCCAGCTCCTAGGTGAGGAGAGGGGGCAGAAGAATGCACAGGCTCTTACCCTGAGAAGTAGCTCCGCACTCCCATTGACTAGAACCTGCTGCTGATTGCTTCTAGGACACAGCATGGTCTGCTGTACCAGGACAGACAAGAAGCCTGCCTTAGTGCCCCAGCTGCACCGCTGACTGAGAGTCGCTTGAGGTAAGCCCCTCCTGCCCCAGCCCTGCTCCACCCCCAGAGCCGAAGCTCTCATCCTCAGCCCAACCCCAGAGCTCACAGTTTAGTCAAATTATGCTGGGTCGTGGGCATCAACCATTTTCTTCAATTGGGTCATGAGAAAAAAAGTTTGAAAACCACTGCAGTAGAAGACACAGTATAGAAGTATAATCTAGGGACCGCATGGTTAAGCTTCCTTTTCTAGTCTGGTATGAAACTATGAAAATGTGCTATGTTAAAAGCTAACAGGATGATCCGATGGAAATACAAGCATGAATTGATATACAGCATCCCTTAGTCCTGAATCATCAGTTAAACATAAAGGACCTTGGAATCAGCTCCAAGAAGACAGTGGGAATTTATTTTGTAGCCTGCATAGTAGCACCATTACAATTACACTGGAGGAGATATGAAATGATTTCATTTGGTAGATAACATCATATTATAAAGAATCACAGTGCCTTTGAAGCAATCACATTTTCAATTTAAAGATCCTAGGGTGCGTCCACACAGCACCCCACATGCAAATTGTGTATCTTATTTCAATTCTATTTTGAAATAGCATATTTTGAAATTTGGTGTGCCCATGCAGTGCCAAATTTCGAAATAATGCACTATTTCGAGATACCCCTTAACCTTTGTGGAACGAGAGGTTACAGGGATGCTGAAATAGCGCACTCGTTATTTCAAAAAATATTTCAAAATAATGGGCTGCTTGTTAAGACACGGGGTAGCTATTCTGGGATACCTCCAGTATCCCAAAATACCTGCACAGCGTAGACGTGCCCTTAGTCACTTTCATTTAAAAAATAAGGAAAGGCAGCAATCTCTATTCTGGGCTAAAAAGGATCTGTGACCCCAAGCTGCCTCTTAAAATCTTGTGGCTGTTGTTGCTGCATCTTCTCTGGGCAAAAAATAGCAGAGAAAAGAACAAACCATCAGCTTGATACAGTGGATTTTTAGAAGAGTAACTCCTGTTAGTGTGAATCAGAAATAAGCGAAGGAGATGACTGATGTTGGACAGTAATTGAGGCGTGAGTTCCAGGTCAAAGCTGCACCAGATCTGGTTAAGTTGAACGTCACCGAAGTTTCATAAGTGTCCTTTTATGAGCTTTCAGCCCTGAGTGGCAGCCCAGTTGCTAAATCAGCAGCCCTTGTGAGACTTCTGCAAACCTGAATGGTGGGGCCATCAGCTGTTTTGTTGAAATCTCCAGTGTCTTGGGGCTAAATACAAACTAGACTGGGAAAAGGGCCCCTTCCAGTTTTAGATGCAAGCTTGAATGCAAATGACATAAACAAGTTCTAAACCAGGAATTCCAGTAAAGCTTCACTTGCTCCTTAAAATATCAGGGTGGAGACTGGGGTTGGATGAAGGCACAGCCACTACTGGGGTCAGGGAAACAGGCCTTTGGAGTCACCTAGTGATGTTAGAATCAAGGGTGATGGTGCAGGGATGGGACTATGGGATGACGCCTTGGGAGAGTGCCTAGCATGCCAGATTGTACAAATTCAATGCTGGTAGGGAATATGAGTTGGTCTGTGAGATGTACCACTGAGAATCCAATCACTGCTAGAATTCCTAGGAATTTAGTGGCTGAAGATCCACATGCCAAATTGAAAATATGTCCCAAGTACCGGAATGCTGTAGCTGAATATGACCATAAGACCCACTCGGCTTAGACAAGATCTTGTCTACACAGGACTTTTAAACTATCGGTACAGTTACTGTTTATGCCTGGGTAACTGCATTAGTACAAGCCATGGTTTATACTCATGCTCTCCATCTAGATTAGGGGCTTGCGCCATTGCATTTATTTTGGCATAGTGGCTCTGGTGGGTAAAACCCCAGGGGAGACAAACCCCAACCTGCCAGGCTAGACAGATATACTTCTCAGTGAGTTTGGAAATCACAGCTTCAGTTAATTATACTGACAACCAATTTAACCCATGGGCAATGGAGGCTGACATCAGAGGCCAGATGGAGGTGGGAGTCGATATTTTGACAGTTGTGTTAGGTAACAGGGACAGGCTGTGAGGGGCCATGAAAGTGAAGACAAGTAGCTTATATGTGATGCAGTAAAGCAGGGGGAAACAGTGGAGGGAAGCAAAGAGAGGGGAGCACAGACAAAGCCATGGACTGAAAAATTATCTTTTAGCAGCATTTTGAATGGATACAAATAAGGCAGATTGCATTTGTCCAGGCCAGAGAAAAGGATTTTGCCATAATCAAGACAAGAAATTATGAAGGTTTTAGCCATGTGGACGGATAGAAAAGGCTATATTTTAGAGATGCTATGCAAAAAGAACTGGTAAGATTTAGACATAGCTTGGATGCGAAGACCTACAGTAAGGTTCAAGTTGAACATCTGAATGAGAGACAGGAGTAAGCAATCCCCATACTATTACAAAATCCAGGGATTCTGTTCTCACTTTGGTCTCGTCTACACTCGGATAAAAGGGAGTTAAAAAAATCTTTATAAATTCCGGGGAGGACCCGCGGGTTCACCTTAGCCAGATGAGACATGATAAAGTACAACTTGTTCTGACTACACTACAGATTTCACAGATGTCCATTAGTCTTTTAAATAAAGCACCCTTTCAGCTAGCCCAGACAAAGCCTTACATGAATGTATCTCAAGAGGAACTCCACGGAAGTCAATGGACTGGATTCTCCAGTGGCCAAGTTCACTTTGTGCCATTTATGCTGACTAAGTAAACTAAAGTTTCCAAAGATTTATCCCCTGTGTAAGAGGAATCTCCATCAGCACAAACCTGGCAAGTTCTTCCTGGGATGGAACTCCCCCTTCTGGCACCAGGAAGAAGGGGGACATGTTCGGGGATTGGAGTGAAAGACGAGAAGAAGGTACACAGTGGAACAGTTTTTGGTGTGGGACCTTATGCCAGTGTAAATTATAGCTGCCTGCTGCTTATTCACTGCATATCAAGCTAGGTCCATTGCAACCGATTTCTGCTCAGGCACAGCGAGAATAAAGCTCAGTGGAGTTAAACGGGTGAGAATAAGAACAGAATCATTTCCCAAGCTTCTCAATGACTATAGATCTCAACACTGCTACTCTGAAGTCTTGTGCAGAAAAGGTTATATTATGAGAGAGACAGAGAGAGAGAAGGAGAAAGATGAGATGAAAAAAAAACCCACAATTTTTGGAGGGGATACAAGTAAATACAAAAATATATAATGAGTTTCCTAAAAGTATAATATTTTCATCATGTTCTTTTGATGCATATTTAGAAAAGTTTATCACAGTATGCACATCTTTCTAATTAGATGGAACAAGCCACACGATTAGAGCTGTGAAAAAAAGCATCAAAAGAGGCACATAACTCTTTATATAATTAGACAGGATTTTTTATAACCCATAAAAGAAGGACTTAATTGTGTAATTTAACATACAATTTAAATATCAAGATCAAACTAGCAGGGCAAGAGTGATTTAATGGGATAAATAATATTAACATCTAGTGCCAAAGCTTAATTTAAACAACAGAATATCTTCATTATGCAAAAGAGTCAAGTAAATGAGACTTTCAAAGGGCTTTAAAAAAAAAAACAAGCCCTTTCCCTATTGTTTCTTTGAAAACAACTAAACCGGCTGCATAGCAGCAACATGCTGAGAGAGGAGCAAAGCGCTGCTGGCTTTGTCCATCTGACCTCACTGTGACATTGTGGTGCAAGATCTTATAAAACAAGAGCCTCCTGCAGACATTGCACAGGGGACTTTTTAAGAGCCGGTTAATTTTACTTTTGTAGCTAATTAAATGGGAGGGCCAGAGAGCGCATGAAATGTAAAACTGCTTGGGCTGACGTTGCAGCTTTGTTGTTTTAAAAGTACCTGGAGGAGCGTTCATAATTTGTCACTTTTCACAGAAACCTAAGAGACAAATGGGGAGCATCCGGGATCCCCAGGATAGAGGCTGCTTTTGCGGACTGGCCTCTGCAGCTGTACTTCTTAAAGGAATGGATTAGAAACATCTAAGCTTATTAGGGTGGAAGATGACATCCAGCCCTTGTCTGACACAGGAGGAGGAGGAGGAAAGTTCAGAAATGTATATATTAATTCCTGAAAAACATAAAACAGGCTTTAGGCCCTGGCAAGGCAAATGTCAGCAACTCAAAAGATACTAGATTGCTATTGACCAGTTTCATCATGGAAAGGGGCAAGCCAGGTAGAATAAAGCCTTCTCCTGTATGTGTCTAATACTGCAAATGACACTGATCCTCTTTAATGTGCACAAAAGCTGACAACTAACTCCTCTCCAGAACAGCAATCACCAAGCCATCTACAGGAATGACTCACCATAAACAGGTCCCGAGCACCTATGTCAACAGCGAGCAGAAATGCCTTTTCAAATCTCTGATACCTGCAAGAAAAGGTGAAATGTATCATTTGCTGAGGAGGTGAGCACCAGATTACCAGAGACAGATGAACTGACAGCTGGTGAAACTCTAAGGCAATGTCTACACTACCAGGTTATTTCAAAATAAGTTATTTTGAAATAATAACTCCCGAAATAACAATTTCAAAATAAGCTTATTCTTCTTCACAAACAGAAGTTATTATTTTGAAATAACAAGCCCCTTATTTTGAAATAACAAGGCCAGTGTAGACATGCCCTAAGAGGCGTGTGGCCTCTGCTCCAGTTCTTGTTTAAAACATACAGTACATTTATTATGAACCCCAAAAGGGAGGCCACCCCACATGACTGGTAAAACCATTTGTGAGATAGCCTGGAGATCACAAAACTGAGAAATATGATAGCAACAGTAACAAGCACTTTTTATCTTCTAAACATTTTAGCAAACAATCAAAGTGCTTGGATTTAGTGGATTTCAATGGGAATTGAGGGTACTTAGCATCATAGGGTGCATCTACACTGCACCTGTAGGTCGAAATAAGATGTACTATTTGAGTGACACAAATTGCATATCTTATTTTGATCTAATTTTGAAATAAAGCGCCATTCCAAAACGTTCCTTAACCCTTGCGGAACAAGGATTACAGGGACGCCAGAATAGTGCACCCATTACCTTGAAATCTATTTTGAAATAACGAGTGCATTTAAAGATGCAGAATAGCTATTTCGGGATACTTCTGGTATCCTGAAATAGCACCACTGTCTAGATATAGCCTTACAGAATTAGGACACAACAAATTAACCCTTATAAGAGCCCTAGGAGCCAAGTAGGTAAATACTATTGGCCCCAACCATCCCCTTCCATAATAAAGCCTGTGAGCAAACAAGGTGGGGGAAGATCCCCCTCTCCCACCCCTAAAAGACTAATGTTCCTACCTCAGACTTGCCCGGATTCCAGAGGCCCACATGGAAGTGTGTGTCATTGCACTGGCTCTGAATACTAGCAGCCTCCCTCCAGCCAAGCTCCCTGACAGTGCAGTTCCACTGAAGTTCTGCTACCTAGAGCAGAGTTTCTTAAACTTTTTAAGACCAAGGAACACCAAACAATAATTTTTTTATGAGGAGCACCACAAATTTTTGGTTGAGCAAAAGGGCCAAAAAGGGGAGAAAAAGGGTTGGGGGGGGGGGGGGAATTATTGAGGGGAAAAAAAGGGTTGGGGTAAAGTAATTGGGCAAAAATAAATAAATAAATAATAAGGTTGCCTGCCCCTTTAAAGACAACCATTTTGAATTCTGTTGCGCTCCGCGGCACACCTCTGACTGCCTCGTGGCACTCCGGTGTGCTGCGGAACACAGTTTAAGAAACACTGCCCTAGAGGCAGTGTTATCTTCTCTGGGTAAATGCCACAGGGCTGGAAAGGGAAGCGAGGCAACATACCACCCCTTGGCCAAAGACTCGTCTCCCTTCCCAATATGGCCCCCTTTCTAGCACACATCTCCAGACAGGCTGAGAGTTCTTTGCAGGGCCTGGTGAAGAGAACAGAGCCATAGACGTGACTGGGCCTCTATTCTAGTTGGAGGAAAGGGGAAATCCATAAGCTGAATGTCCCCTCTGAGTGTGGATCCAGAAGGCAGAGTCTTAGAACTGCCTGCTTACAGAAGGAATCTGTGAGTCTGTGTCAGCACTGGGAGCATTCAGGATCCCCAGGATAGGGGTCCCCACCTTATTTAGGGTACACCAAGCTTTTGGTTCCCACTCCTATACTTAGATCACTACAGCAGTTTTTCTCAAACTGTTTCAGAACATGAACAGTTGAATAGAGAGATTACTTCTGGACAATAGTCCCATAGCACAATCCCATGGACCACTTCCTTTCTCATTTTCATGCACCATATCCTGTGATAACTGCAGTAAATACTTACACAAGAAAGCAATATCAAGATCCAGATCTAGATCTCAAGAGATGTACAGCGTATCTGTATCCGCATCCATATCCGCAAAAATGAGCCATGGGTACCCGTGGATATAAAGCAGATAATTGCAAATTTGCAGGGTTCTAGATACTAAATTTGTATCTGCATCCACATCCATATCTGCAAAAATGAACTGCAGATATCTGCATCTGCATATACACATGGATATAAAGTGGATATCTGTGGCTGTGCAGGACTCTATTTATGTATGTTTTTAATACATCAGGTGGACATCCATAGAAGCAGCTGAAACCAAAGAGAGATGGTTCTTAATAGCAGCGACTGTCAAACTGTGGGTCATGGCCTTCCAGTGACTTACCCAGACAAGCTGGGATATAAAGTTTGAAAACCTTTGCTCCATAGGATACCATCAAAGGCTTTGTGTACCCAACTAGCACCAGAAACCAAACTTGGGACAAATGCTGCACTAGACAATATTCCTATTATGAGATCATATATAACGTGAAGGAATCTATAAAGATTTTCAATAGAGAAGATCACAACTACTCCATACTAGCTAGGGAGAGCACTATGGAAAAGAAAGTCTTGATGTGGAAAAAAGTTTACTAATCTATTATGCCATATGCATATATTCACCATATAACAGTTAGGTTGAAAAATGTGAGATTTTAATTTATTAATACAGTGTATACATTTTATGGTAATGTATTTTTGCTTGCAATCACAAAAATCTGTATGACATGAAATAGCGTAATTTAGAAAGATTATTTTTTTGATTTGCAGAATCACAAAAAGTAAAAAACAACAACCAAACAATGGTTCATCTCAGTTATCTACACTGGTGCCCATAGTTAAGGCTGCACAAGTGTTTCTATTGTAAGAGGTAATATTTAGTTGCTTATCTTTATTCCTTTACTTTGCTGGCTAAAATTGGAGAGGTTTATTCTCAGTCAGGGAATAGATTTTCTTTGAAAGTCTGAGCCAAAGCTGTTCTGCTGTTTTTGAAAATGAAGACAAGGGAAAATAAGAGTCCCCCCCTCCCATTATGAAAAAGGTTTGTGACTTCTTCACTTTTTTAAAACAACAGCTGTACAGGGTCACTTGTATATGACAGAAACTTGACATTTGGCAGAGGGAGATCATGGATGATGTGCCAGTGAAAACTGATTGTGATGTTAGTTGACTGTTCAAAAGATGTGTTTTGTGAGTGCTCAGTGTCTTTCATAAGACCAAGTGGTCTGCCAATATTCTATTAGGTTTATGTGATCATGGTTAGATCAGGAAAGTTGGTGGGCAGTATTGTGTCTTTATCTCAGATTAGTGAAGGTGCCCAGGGAAGAACGCAGCCCTCTTTTCTTTTGATGGATGAAAGTGTCTCGCTAGATGGACAAGTGGTCTGATCCGATATTGTAAGTCTTATGTTCTACCCAGCTCTGAAAAGCCTTCTTGCTCTTTTCCAGAGCATGTCAGTAGAATGACACAGCAGAATCTAGCACAGAGCTAGCCAGCAAGTGCTTTTCCACAACAGATAACGAGTTAGTAACAAGAAAGCAAAATAAATTAGCATAAGCAGAAAAGGAAACAAACTTTCCAGCTTCCTATATCCTAGTTGTGGTCTCCCAGCTTCCTAAAGACAATTTCCCACTGTGTCATCTGATCACAAATTTACTGTACATCCCCTGAGCATGCCAATAGGAGGAGGGAAAAGTGGTGCTGACGTTAACTTCTTTATTCCTGGGGTGTGGGCAGGGCCCCACATGCATCACACATCTGTATCTCTAAAGGTTTTTTTAATACTTTCTATGAAGGATACCACATGAAAATACATTGCATTCTATATTTCTTTTTAAGCAAATGCTTTAGTTTAGAGAAATATACATAGACGTTACAGTGGTGCATATACATTAGTGTCATAAATGTCTTTTTTCAGGAGGCACCCCCAAATGAAATGACAGTTCTCATTCCCAGGTTTCTCAAATACACTATATAAACACCTCCTCAATGCTAAGATGGAAAATAAGAGACTGAATCGTGAAACATGCGTTATAACATACCAACCAGAATACATGTACACAGTGCCTTTTACATGGCAATAGCTAAAAGAATTTGAATGAGATCTGCAGTAGCCAAGACCATCTTTGCTACCAAAAATGAAAAGTAATATTTTCCTTTGATTATTTTGCAGAACGGAATCATGGCCTTAAAACTGTCAGTTCTCTTCTGTCTCACAATAATTTCAATTTTTTCCTTTAATCAACAGACATACTTCCGTCTCATTATGGCCCCTACTCAGAAAACCGTAAAGCTAGCTTGTTATTTCCAGAGCTATACTCGGAAAAAAAATCTATCTACCAAAGAAATGCTCTTCACAAACCAAGAGAGCTGGAAATAACAATCACAGAGACTTCATAAATTATTATAAATAGTATTGCTCTTAAATGAGGTAGTGTTTTCAAATGAAAGTGACAAGTTTGGATTACTTATGCAACCAATATTAAATCAGTCAAGAACATGTGCCTTTTAGATTTTTATAAAGTAGCTTTATTTAAAAAGCATTTTTTTTAAGTTTCTTCGGTGTGTAATATTGCATTTTCATTCTGTAGGGCCAATAAGAATGTGCCCTGGCTGATGTATTAGTGTAAAGATACATTCAGACAGATCATGCATGTTTTACAGTAGGGTTTTGTTGTGGGGAGAGTTCTTATTTCTCCTAGCACACACCATTTACAGCTAGCTGCCTCCTAAACAATAAAAAAAAATCCAATATTTGTTCTTGCATAAACATTAGAGGGCACAAAATTTTCAGCCTTCAATATGGTAGTGATATTCTACAAAATACAAAGTTGAATACTTAATTTACTACTTGCTTCAAAGTAATTAGAATAATTTGAAAAAGAGAAGAAAATCTGCCTGTAAACCATGAAGTTCTGCTATTTGTTAAGTCAATGTGTGAGCCGACAGAAATATGACCTTTGCGAATAGAACTTACATACTATTATCAACCATATAGGACAAATGGTAAAACATTAGTTTATGAGCTATTTAAAGTAAAGTATAAAACCCAGTATAAT